GTTAGGAAACAAAACTTCAAGAACACGGCCACACAGCCCGGAAGACCCACACCAGCCATCATATGCCGGCCGTGAAAGCCTTCGACAATACATAATTCACAGTAATAGTATATTGTATTGTACGTTATGAAGTTATGTAATATATTAGAAATTAAAATATAGCATAATGTAATGTAATGTAAATACAATTATCACACCACTGCAACATTTGTTTGTAAAAGTTTCCAAGCTTGTTCCACCTATGGCATCTCCCAAACTTATTTTGATCATGTGTCATCAAATCAATTCCAACTCTTAGTAATCACATAGATTACTTTTCTCCAGGATGATCTGTCCCCAACCTGGTCCTTCAGGTCTTCCCCCAGTGCACTCACTGCTGGTGTTATCAAGCCCATCCATCCTGTTCCTGGTTGTTCTCTTGTCTTTCCTTCCACCCTTCCCAGCATTAGAGCCTTCTCAAGGGAGCTGGGACTTTGCATTACAGGTAGTCCTCAGGTTGCGATGGCAATTGGGACTGGAATTTCAGTCGCTAAGCAATGCAGTCGTAAAATGCAACGTCACATGACCGCATTGCTTAGCAATGGCAATCTCGGTTGCCATCATAACCCCAGGACTGTGTGGATCGTTAAGTGGAAAGAGGCGGGAGTCCCAAGCAAGGAGCACAGGGGGGCATACGGGTGCCATGGGTAGGCGCTAAAGAGTGCAGGTGGGCTAGTGGTGGCTACAAGCAGGTCGGCAGGGGCTGTGGGCAGTTGCATGCTACAGAATGTGGGTAGGCAGGGAGGTACTACGGAGTACGACATCCCTGGGATCTCGTACTCCATAGCGGGGCTCCTTGGGAGAAAAAGCAGTGGGAGTAGGAGGGACTTATGGGAGCGACTTGCATCCTTCCCTGCCAGCTTCCCCTTTGACTTTGCAGGAAGCCAGCATGGAAGGTCACAAATGGGGATCACATGATTACAATGGATGCTGAACAAGTGGTTGTAACTCGAGGACTACCTGTACATGTAATTAATCTTATTTTCCATGTTTCCACTGTAATTCTGTCTAATCCCATATTGGGACCAGCATGCCATTCTGTGATTTTAGGGTCCTACTAATGAGATGAGTACATGAAAAAGAAAGGAAAATAGTCAACTCTTCTACCCACCAATCAGCTCTTCCCAGACAGCTGCCTTGTTCCCATGGCAGCTCAGCTCTCGTTCCCAAGTCTGGGGTAGTGGCAGTCTCATGCGAGTGCCTGCAAGAGTCGGGTCCCAAGGCCCTGGCAACCGACTTCGGGAAAAGGAGGGCAGATCTGAGGGGTACCTAGAGAAGAGAAAGACTGTGAACTCAAGGTCTGCAAAAAGAAACATATGAGAACGGTCAACTTTCACATGGACCAACTAATAGGTACCAACTACCACAAGTCTTGTAAAAGGAGGTTTGGGTACCTGTCTATAGATGAATGGCAGGATTGCAGTGTTTTCTAAGAATGAAATCATGGGGTCAGCTTTTTATGAACATATAAGAATGCCATGCAACGCCTCCAAATAGGGTACTTTGTGAAGCATGTCAACACAAGCAAAACTCCTCTCCTTGAAGTATTGAACCAGACACATCCACTTCAAGGCTCACACAGGATGTCAGAAGCTAAACTTGGCTTGTCTGTATGTATACACGTACAGCCGCTTCACTAGTGCCACTTTGTGTGTGTTACACAAACCAGAGGACACAGCTGTCCCCACATTTTGAGAAGAGGCATTTTGATTGCACTGGCATGTTTCAGAAAGTGCCCCATTCATACATTTTGCAGAGCTGTTGAGTGATAAAAGCTTATCTTTCTAAGAAGCCCTAACCTGAACCTCAGAGGAGAAGCACTTCCTAAGGACCTCCATAGCCTTGGGGTGTGCTCCCTAGACTTTCTCCAAAATTTGCCACCAAGCTGTCACTTTATGGAGAAAAAACAGGAAAGATGGGGACTGCACTCCTGAAATAATGCAGTGTACATTTTTATCCAATTTAAAATCCATGGAATCCTGTTGAGTATTTGTACCGGTCCTATCAGCTGGCTCCAGCCACTGTTGGGAAAAAACTGCCAAAGTCTTAGAGTCACCCTCCACTTAGAGGAAATTATTTGTCCCGGCTGAAAACTCAAAAGACAGATGCTGCACCAAGCCTCCAAGTGTTGACCCAGGCAGTCTCACCTCTGTCCCAAGAGACTCATAACGTGCTGAGCTGGCTCAGAAATGTGAAGGCGGTGGATCAAATTCTTCAGGGAGAAGTAATCTCTGGCAGCTGATTTCTCTTTTACTGAATCCAAGTTCTCTCGAAACTACAGAAATCAAACAGCAGAGAATCAAGCAATCTGTGTCTTAGCAGTTACAGGAACACACTCACCCATCTTAAAAACAGTTTACATTTAGAAATGGCAAGGTGGGGTATCTCAATGCATGCTTTGAGAATACCTGAATTGTTCAAAATTAAGGATCAAGCATAGGTGGACACATTCCTCCCTTCAGCCCCCCAGAGCACTTACTGTTTTCTGCAAGGCTTCACATTTTGATACAAAGCCTATGTTCCGACCTAGGCTGTGATTTTTCCAGTTATCCCAAGAGGTAGCTCTTCTAGGCTGCTGAAGAAACAAACTTCCAAAGTTAATAATCTTGTCCCTTGCGTTCTAGAAGACTCCATATTAGAGATGTAATTGATAGGGAGACTTAGATAGTTTCATAGATTCACAATTCTGGTCTTCTTGGTCACAAAAGGAGTACTGTTTCCAATTTTACCTCAAAAAAATAAAGGCTTACCAAAAATGGAAAAAGAGAGGGCAAAAAGTATCTTTCAGTTCAAAACATTTCCAAAGGCTTGATATAGTATTGTTCAATGTTTACAGGTAGTCCTCACTTAATGACCACTCGTTCAGCAACTGTCTGAAGTTACAACAGTGCTGAACAAGTGGGACTTACAACTAGTCCTTGTATTTGCACCTATTGCAGCATCCCAGCAGCCACATGATTGCAATTCAGGTGCTTGGCAACCAGCTCACAATTATGATGTCACATGTGATTGACAAGCAAAGTTGATGGGGGAGCCAGCAGGAAGTTGCAAACGGTGACCATGTGACGTTGCGCTTAACAATGGTGCAAGATTTACTTAATGACAGCAACTGGAACTGCCAGAACTGCTGAGATAATTTGGCATGATCAGATGGTGTTGCACTTTACGGCCTCATTGCTTGGTGACAGAGTTGCCAATCCCAATTACTGTTGTTAAGCAAGGACTACCTGTATGCTTAACAACTCTTACCACAACAACCACGTTAGACTAATTATTGGGGAAGAGGGACATACAGCATTCAAATTCACAGCCATTTGTTCTTCTTTCAAACAGTTGGCTCCCTTTGCCCGCTTCTGCATTAGCAAAGTTCATGCAGGATTTCTTTTTGCATTGAAATTGCTGCTCACATCCCTTATGGAATATTTGAGAGGTCAGAATGTTTGGGAACATTTCATGACATCATAACAACTCAGATGAAGGGAGGCGGGAGAGAGCCCACTGACATCCTTAAAAAGTCTAACAAACTTAAAAGTCCAATACTCCACCTTTGTAGTCTTTGGCTTATGACGTTTCTTGCCCCGGCTCCTGCGGGTGTTGTACTTGGCCAACTGATAGGCATCAAACTGCCGGAACTTATCAGTCATTCCAGCGCGGAGGCAGGCAGGCACGGGAGCCAGAGTTCCTTCTTCCCCTGCTAGGCTCTGCACACAGAAGAGAAGGAAGAGCGCACCATGTGGCAAAGAAAGAGAGTTCCGTCTAGGATTAAATCTAGAACTCCCTGCTGAAGGATTCTAGGAGCGGCAGGAGAATGTGGGATCTTACCTGATAGAGCCTGGCCACCTGCATCCAGTCTGACGGGAGCTGCACTGCATGGCAGAAATAGCGCCGCAGGTGTGGACGGCAGGGCACGAGGTAGGAAGCCAATGCCAGGAGGAAATTAGCCGTACTGCGGATGTTCAGTTCTTGGCGAGCGTATAGAGCGACCTGAGAAGAGAGAAAGACAGCATACAGATGGGCAAAACCAGTGGAATCCTCAGATTATTAGGATAATTAGGAATCCTAACATTTAATACCACCTTATTGTTAACATTTAAATATTCAGTAGCATGCAGAAGTTTAGGCACCCCTCATCCAATTATGTTTCAAAGAGTCCCTAAATAAACAGCAGCAGGCAAATCCTCAACAGGGTACTGTGAGGAAAATATATCTTTGGGTGAATCTTGGGGTGAAAGAAGCAAGTTTTTAGAGGCCTCAGATGAATGGGATCGCCTTAATAAAACTGAAACATAACGGAATGTGCAGCATCCTTGAAGCTGGTGTGAACTAGGCTGATTGTAAACTCCTGATCACAAACATCCCCATAGCAATGTAAGAGAGGATGCCTTCTTCCTGGCAGTTGGCACCTTGAACCTTGTTTCTTCCTCTCTGACACTATTGCGTTCCTTATAGATAGCAGTTGTTCCGTCCTTGTAGATAGCAGACAAGAACAGGGGCAGAAAGTAACTTGAGAAGTATTGCTCATTTAGGTGTGCCTGTATCATCATATGAATATGTATACATATGTGTTCTTTTCCCTTCACCCTTTCTTGTAAAACTGTATAAATATGTGTTCTGATATAAATATCAGAAATTTTGCCTATAGGGGTGTGTCTCCCACTAACCTTTGGTGGGGTCCCCCTCCAGTACATACTGTCTAATAAACACTGCAGTGAAGCCTTGATTATGTTGCATTTGTGTCCTGCGCTTTTGATTCCACAGTACAAGGTTAAACCACAACATCGTTGTACAACTATGAATGTGTACTTGCTATTTATGTGCATTTACAGATTCAAAATAAGAAAACAGTACCATGACAGATGCAAAAGCTTGGATGCCCTTTCAGTCAGAAATTTGTAATAATTCCATTTTGCAGAAATAACAGCTTCCAAATATCCTGCAACCAGCTAATAGTCTTTCTATTCTGGCTTTTGGAATCCTTTCCTACTCTTCCTCGCAGAATTCTTCTAGCTCAAAAATATTCTTAGGTCTCCCTGCACATACTGCATGTTTTAAATTATCCATACACTTAACTCCAGGGACTAGGAAGCCCATTCTAAAACCTTTATCTAAAAGTCACAGGGTTGAAAGACCGTGGAGGTCTTCTAATCCAACCCCCTGCCCAGTGCAGGAATCCTCATAACAAATGGCTCTCCAGCCTTTTCTTGAAAACCTTTGTTCATGGTTGATTTAAAGATGTGTTTCAGATCATTTGATTAACATTTTGACTATTGTAACGATAGGCACTTATTAAAGGTTTTGATTATTTTATGAACACCTACAACAAAGCTGCCCACCCATAAAATTGGGGAAATCAATCATGTACAGAAAAATGGGGCAATCAGACCTAAACCTATGCAACAGTTACAAGCAATCTTTGCCACAGACCACCTCTTAGATTCAGGGACATCCATGGTGCACAGCTCCTCCTAATGCCTCACACAGCCCACCCCCCAACCTTCAAGGCCAGGTCCACAACAACCTTTCATACCTTGAGGATGAATTCAGGTTCACATTCTGCTAAACTCTTACATATTTTCATCAGTTCCTGCTGCAGCAACCCTGGAGGATTCCCAAATGTTGCCCCTTCCACCAGTGAGCAGCAGACCAAGCTCAAGAGCATTAGCTAAAAAGGGGGGAGGGAGGGGAGGAAGAGAGAAAGACTTAGGTAGTGCTCCATGGGAATTTGCTTACCAATTCCAAATTTCTAATCCATAAGAGATTGTTCAACTATGAGAGACACAGAAAAAAAAGAAACCATGAAAACTTAAAAAAAAAAATCCAGACTGAATAGGAAGCTGGAACAAAAGAAGACAGAAGTATTATTCTTGCTTGCAGAGCTGATGAGGTGCTTACATTCTTTGTTATTATCTGCACCAAAACGGGAAAGATCATGGCATAGTCAAACACTAGGCACTGCGATTCCTGCAGCTTGCCTCTTACCTTCTGCTCTTTCACAGCTAACCCTTCATCCTCCTCCTGTATCTCAGCCAACAGGGTGTCGTCGTCCTCCTCCCGTGACTGTTCTATCTCATCCTCTGGCATTGCAAGAACGTATTCTGGGATGCCGTTGAATGAGTCCATCTCATCCTCGTCTTCCTAGCATTGGACAGAAGAAATACACTGTTCACCATTGAGCCGCTAAGTCAAATCAACCTACAGGCCACAGCCAGCAACTAAACATGAAAGCAAGATATGCTTTCCGAAGTTTAGCTTGCCATGCCATTTCCTCCATCTGGTTTTCCAGATCTGCTCCAACAGCATGCACTGTGTGTCAGTGGTGCCATTCCAGCTACATAACAGAGGAATGATTTGTTAAACCACTGGTACCAATGAGTGCTAAGAAAAAGAGAGTGCTCTCAGCCCCAAGTCCCCCTAAAAGGACATCTGAAGCACATCAACACCCTTCATTGGAAACCTTCAGGGAAAATTAATTATTGGCTCAAAGCTAACCTAAGCTCCCTAGCAGGGCTGTGGAGAGATCTGAACTCAAAGGACACATGCAATTCACAGTGCGTGAAGCACCTGTCAGGTACATCCTAAATCAAAGGTGTCTTTTCCCAAGATCACATAGTGCAATCCCAAGAAAACACACTTTTGATTTAAACTGTTTTCCTGACAGGCGTTAGACACGCTCCGAATCATGCTTTGCAGTTCAAATTTAGACCACCGCCTAGCCACCCTCTCTAACTCATCTCAAACAGAGTAGCCTTCCCAAACCTGTGCCCTCCAAATCAATGTCTTGGTAGTACAATACTAGTAGATGTTGCACGGTACCTCCCATTCATTCTCAGTCTACCATTAATCAGCCCACTGACACTGATCTAGGGCAGGAAAATTCTTAGCATTCAGAGGTGATGATTTTCCTATATGTAGAAACTAAGTAGGGTCTGTCCAGATTAGTACTTGGAGAGGAGACTACCAGGAAGACCTAGCTGAGGAATTCAAGAAATACTCTACTGTGAAGTAGTCGGGAGAAGTAAAAAAAAAATAATTATCTGGTAGAAGACAATGGCAAACAACTTCAGTAATGACAACAATTTCTTCCTCTTCATGAAATCCTTACAACCAAACCCCATACACACAAAAACCATTTCTGCACTGATATTAAGAAATCAATATGGAATGTATCCATGAAGTCACCAGGAGTCCGACTCAACGTGAAGGAGACTTGATGTGGTTCTCGATTTCTACAACTAAGATTGAAGCTGTATTTCCTTCTTAAGTTGCATTTTACTCTTACCTGGAGTTCCTTCAGTTCATGGCAGGATCCAGAAGTCTCCTCCCAAACTGTATAATCTGGTGGCAAGCCAGTGGCACAAAGTTTCTGCCAGGGATGGAGTGAGAAACCTTTCAAAAGCTTTGAAGAATCCAGAGGGAGGTCTGATGGAACAACAGGGAGCAACAAGCGAGCTCTGGATTCTTCCAGCCCTGGAAAAGTAAGGCTGGATGACGGGGGCTGTCTCAGGAAGGGATTTTCCAGCCGCAGCAAGTTTGGCTGAGAGAAGGCACAATACGAGAGTGACTTCTTAGCCCCGATTTGCAGAAATTGAGATATCTGGAAAAGAAACAATAAAAGCACCATTTAAGGCAATGGTGTGAAACAGACCCTCCACCCCAATTCCCAAGTGTTCTTCAATCCACTACATGCACGTCTGACTTGCCTTCGCTCAGCAGCGTCTCTCTTACCATTAATCTGCTTTGTTCCTGGTTCTCGTTTCTTTCGGACATGGGTCCAGCTTCTGCAACATCATCACTCTCTGTAGATCCTGCTGGGCCTTCCCACAAGCTCTCTGTGTGCACCAAACCAAGTTTCTCTGCCTCACCCACATCCTTCTGCCAGGACACAAGCAGACACATCTAAATAAGCAGAGCAGCAGCAACCGAATTCAAGCATCAGCATGCTTCCTTTCTTCTTCCCGATACTCTGGAAATTACGCTTGGTAATTTGGCAGAAGGGCTGCGTCTGAAAAAGGTCTCCTTCAAGTTGAACTTGGCTTCTACAGACATCACAGATGTCTCCCTGCAATTTTCTTGGCCAGGTGACAGAAGCAGTCTGCCAGTGGCATTTTCTAGGATGTTTTTTTCATCTTCCTGGTCTAGTTTACATCTCTGGGACTTCCTTGTGTGGTCTCCCGTCCTATCCAGATTTAATTCTTCTTACTTTCCAAACACAGAGGTCAGCCAGGGGCTGCCACTTGCTAAAGCATGACCTTCAGACCTTTGCCATTTTTATTTCTGATTCTATGTGGTTGGGAAAAAGCCACAATAGTTAAATCAACTAGCCAGGAATCCACATTAAGCCAACACTGATTAGGAATACTTTTCACAGGTGCTTCCCACAGGATCTTAGCTGTACCTTATCATGCTAAGCAGCCAACCTGGAGTATTTGGGATCAAGGAACCTGAGCTCATCCACTGTTCTGGGGTCAGCCACTGCCTGGCCCTGGGTGACAGGAGATTCCAGAGGACCTACCCACAATCCTGGAGGATGGACAGGATTCAAAAGTCGAGCCCGGGATTCCTCCAGTCTTTGGAGAATATGGGGAACAGGAAAATTAGCATGGACAGAAGGCTTCTCTATACAAAGGCGGGCAGAGGGATCCATAGGCCTCGTAGAAAAGGTCAACAGGGGCTTCAATCTCTGCAGAAGAAAAAATAAAGGCAGTGACTATGTGCCAGAGAAAAAGCCCTGTTGTGAACAGCTCATTCTCAGAACTGGGCACGCAAACTGAGTTGGGAAGTTTACCTTTAAAACTGTCTTTTTAAAGACCCAAGACTTGCCTTTTCTTTAGCAGCCCACCTACCATGCTCTTGCTGTTGTACTGCTAAAACACTACACTTTTAAAAATCATTTGACACTATTTCAAAATCCCCCTTTGGATTTAAAACACTTGCATCTTTACCAAGGATGTACAAGACCAAATGCGATTCTGCTGCAAAAAGGAAACAGAAGTACCTTTGGTATACTTTGAAGCAAACACCACAGGTCTTAAATGATCCCCCACAGCACCTGGGAAACTTTAAGATGTGTGGACTTCAACTCCCAGAATTCCCCACCCACATCTTAAAGTTGCCCAGGTTGGGAACACTGCCTTAATGATTACAGGAAATAGGGTTCGCTGTTCTTAGCCAGAGACAAGGAGGAAGAATAATATCTCTTGCATGGCTGGTCTTCAGAATGGGTGAAACAAACATTTCAGCTTTATTTTGCATTTCTAGGGCTTGGGGTGGGCTTAAGAGGCAACATGGTAGTCTTAAGTCCAGCAGATGTTTTAAGACACCGATTAACTCTTTAAAACTTCTGAACTCCCCCACCCCAAGGGATTCTGTCCCCCATCCCCCTTTGGGACTGTGGCCCTGAAAATACCAGTGCAAAAACTCTTTGAGCTAGTGGAAATAGTGAATCCCAGTTTGTTTTTTTACTCCAAAATAGGTTTTAAAACTAAGGTTGTACCCAAGTCCTGAAAAAGCAAAATATGCTTAACTGTGGCGACCTACCTAATATGTCTCAACATAGAACAAACATTTAACTAAAGAAATCATTGTAACTTGAATACCTGCATGACATTTCATTCAATTAGATCTGGATAATTAACTCTGCATGCAAACCTTATTAAAATGCTGAGGAAACTTTTTTTTTTTACAAGATGCATTCATATAAAAGGCAGTAGGCACTTTCTCCAAATAATTCTTTCTAAATATATGAAAGAAATCAGAATGTATCTTCCCTTTCCAGGGAGATGCCTTTAACTCCAACTTGTAAGGACTTGGGTTCAAAGAATTTAAAAAATCCTTAATGAAGCAGGATCACTTAAAAAAAAAAAAGTTAATTAAAAGACTGAAGAAGAGGATGAATAAATTCAACCTAAAATGGAGGAAATCCAAGTTTCATCAATGCATCAAGTAACTTTGTTTTAATGTTTAGTTTCTTAAAATCCTAAACATATATCTAATTTTAAAATATTTAAAACCTATCCTGATATTAGCAGGTTCTGGGCAGGATAAAACAAAGTTCTCTTTCCCTGCAAAAAATTATTAGAACAAATATAAATAATAGAAATCAGTAACTTAAAAAGCTAGCATTTCTCTATTGTACCAATACTTCTGCACCCATCAGCCAGAATGCTGAGAGAAGAGCTCAGTGAATAACTATTGTGATTCTTCTCTCTCTCGTGGTTCCTTAGAATCCTTCAACGTGGCCTTTAGAATCTACCAACCCTGTGTTGAACTACAACTCCAATTATCCCAGTTAGCACCCTATGCTTGGAATGAGAGGATCTGTAATCCAGCACATCTGGAGGTTGGACTGAACAAAGCTGATTTAACAACATTCGAACTTATAGGCCCTCAGCCCTCAAATGCTCCTGTAGCATCTTGATTGATCGATTGATCGATTGATTGATTGATTGGAGTGATTGAAGTGATTAAAGTGATAGTCTGTGTTCCAGGAGCTCAAGACAAAGTACAGAAGTTCCTCCTCCTATTATTCCCCAGAACACCACTGTGAAGTGGGCTGGGATAAGGGAGAACAACTTGTGTAAAGTCACCCAGTAAGCTGAGGGTGGACTTCCACCTAGAACCAGTCCAATACCTTAACCACTACACCACACTGATTGTGGTAACCCTGCTCTCCAGCACACTGTCTCAGTGGCTTTTCATGTATTTATGCAGATACCCAAACCATAGTGTTTTTATTCACTCAGCTGAGACTGTTAGCTTTTAGTTTCTCATAGGAGGAGCTTGGCATTTTAAAAACCATCAGAGAAGACTCTGAGAAGGAGAAGCTTGGCATGAAAAGGGCTTGTAATAGAGGATCTGACTTGCAGCTAAAGATGCTATAATGGCTAACATAGACTAAACACCTCCAGTGCTGCTGAAGATGGACTGATACTTTCTATCCAAGGTAAGGTTGTCAGGTAAACCTAAAATAGACTATGCAATTTCCATCAAGAAGGACTTATGGGATACAAGATGAGACCAGGAGAAAACTCACCAAGATGTTTGAAGGCACAATCAAGGAGAAGAAATGCTGAAACGGAATAACACCATGGGATACTCTTTGAGAAGGCCTTGGGTCAAAAGATAAATAGAGGAACAGAAGATTAAAGTTTTACCTATCCAAGGATCACCAGCCAACCCCAGGTCGCCTGTCACTTCTGCAGAGGGATGGTAAACTACCAATTCATTTCAGAAGCCCTTTGTTTAAACCTAGATAGGGAAATAGGAATAGACTTAGTAATAGGTGGCACAGAGGGGTGCTTACATGCTAGCCACACACATGCCTCCACACACACATTAGGCTCAGGTGATGATGGGCAAAGCCCAAACTACTTTGTTGTGCCATGCCTGGTTAGAGAAGGGAACAAACCATGGACACAAATAATGCGAACAGTGCTGAAGCTGGAAAGGTGAAAGAGCTTGGTTGTTTAGATAAGGCTTGGCTAATACCCAAACTGCTTTATTCCTGGCTGAGTCTTAATAAAAAAGAAAACAAAAACTTAAACCTGTATGGCCTTGTTTTGATCAGATCCTGGAACATCTCTCATCACACTGGCCCAAGGAGATCCCCGCCCTACACTCAAGGCCCAAAACATCTTCCGGGTCACACAAGCTTGCTCAATCCCAAATCCTCAATTTTCTCTCTACCGGGATCCCTTGTCAATTTAATGTCACTGCCGCTAATCCAGGGTGTGAGAAAAAAAGAACTTCCTTCATTTCACACATTTCAACGGGGTGACGTGTCCCTCCAAACTGAAAATGGCTTCTTGTTCTTCCCTATCTGTAACAGGAGAAATACTCTGGATGCCAACTCACTGTGCAAAGACTTGCTTGCCAATTCATTTACCTTCTGGGCAAAAGTCAACTCGGAAAGCATGTACGAAGGGAGGAGGAAGATCAAAAGGAGCGTTAAGAAAACGTTAAGGCTGATATATCAATATTTCCAGCGGTACTTATAATTTCTTTGCTATCCTCAATATCTAAGAAAAGCAGCAGCACGACAGCTGCCTAATGCCCCAAACCATTGGGTGGCTCAGGTGGGGGGGGGGGGGCTCCATAACCATAATCCTCAACTAACATAGTTCCTAGAGGGCAGCCAGGTTGGGAAAGGCCAGTGTAGCTACCTCAGCTTGGAAAGGCAGTGATTTGTTCACACGAACGCTGAATCATACTTTTTACATCATGATTTACTGAACAAACCATTATCTGGATTCACACGGAGTGGATGAATGCCAGGCCCAAAACGATAAGCAAACCAACCACTTTTTGTTTGTGTTAGGGAGCTCTGGGGGGGAACCAGATGGAAGAAACACTGAGTGCTGGGTTGTTGGGCAAGAGCAGGCAGTGTATAAATGCACAACGACAATACAACGCAGGCGAAGTGCAGGCTGGACCACCATCCCTTGATTGCACACCCCTTTAAAAAAAAGGCTCAAAACTCTTCCTCGCCTACAGGAAATCTTGAGAAATAATCTTGAGTTCAATGTATTGTCGAAGGCTTTCACGGCTGGAATACAATGGCTGGTGTGGGTGTGGCTGTGTTCTGGAAGTTTTGTTCCTAACGTTGCGCCAGCATCTGTGACCGGCATCTGATGCCGGTCACAGATGCTGGCGCAACGTTAGGAACCCAAACTTCCAGAACACGGCCACACAGCCCGGAAGACCCACACCAACCAATCTTGAGTTCGCCAAGTTCGTCAGCGCTGCGCCTGTAATCATACTGTAAGCGCAAGGGCCGAGTTCACCCACACCGAGATGTATGGCTGAGATTACGCGAACGCGGCCACGGAGGCTGCACATAGCGCTCCGTGGTGACTCAGCGCGCTCTGCGAATCGCGGTTCGCATCCCCACGGCCTAGCTCGAGGCGTGACACGGGCAAGCGTCCACCCGTGCTCAGAGATGCCCGCCAGCCGGCGAAACGAGCGGGGTTTTTTTCCTCC